ACCAAACTGGAAAGCTGGTTTTTGGTTCAAGGTCTCGGTGCACGCAAAGAACAGGAGAAATACGCAGCAGTAATTGCGTATGCTGATCCCAAATACCTGGATCAAGTGCACGATCTTGAAAATAACCCACCACAAACAAACCCGTACTCAACCCCCTCACACAGCTGGTTAAACGCCTGGATGACAATGACAAGATGCTACACCAGATCAACAACAAACTGAGTCAGCTCCTTGGCACCACCAATCAGCAACGCGGTCGGAGCTACAATCGATAGCCCAGCAACAACAGTTTCCGCAGTAACACACCATCCAGGGACAATTCTAACCCTCAATTTTGCTGGTACCACAACAAGTACGCAGACAGTGCCCAACGTTGCATCCAACCGTGCTCTTTTCATGCCAACAACAGTTCAAAAAACTAAGCTCCACCGTTGGAAATCAACAGGGCAGCTCCGACGGTCGTAACGCAAATGCCTCACAACGCTACCCATTGTTTAAAGTAAACATCTGCAGAATTTCATCCTCCAACCGTCTCTTCGTTCCGGACTCCAAATCGGGTAAAAGTTTTCTCATCGACACTGGAGCTGACGTATCTGTTATACCACCAAAAACAATTAATCGAGACATCAAAGCTAATAATAACCATACACTATTCGCAGCCAATGGAACAGCAATCCATACTTATGGTACCACCCGCCTTACACTGGATCTCGGCTTGCGCCGCCCTTTCACATGGATTTTTACCATAGCCGATACGAAAATCTCAATCATTGGCTCAGACTTCTTGCAGCACTTTAATCTCCTGGTTGATCTTAAAAACTCGAAGTTAGTTGATGTCGAAACACGCCTATCATGCTGCGGTATATTTAGCCGACAATCAATTGCGGAAATCAGGACATATAACATTCACTGCGAATTCTCCAAGCTACTGGAAGAATTTAAGGACATCACACAGCTTAACTCATCTCCTCCTCAAGCAACAACCGCCAAAGTTACACACTGCATTGAAACCAAAGGCTCTCCACCATTCGCTAGGCCCAGAAGACTTAGCCCAGAAAAATTTCACGCAGAAAAAAGTGAGTTCCAGTATCTGATCAACCTCGGCGTTTGCCGCGCGTCAAAAAGCCCTTACGCCTCCCCGTTACACATGGTCCGTAAGGCTAGTGGTGAATGGCGTCCATGCGGCGATTACCGAGCTCTCAATGCCCAAACCACCCCAGATCGGTATCCCTTACCACACATTCAAGACTGCAGTCACATATTTTTCGGGAAGCACGTATTTTCAAAGATCGATCTAAACCGAGCATACCATCAAATTCACATCGAGGCTCGAGACATCCCCAAAACGGCCATAACTACACCTTTTGGATTATTCGAATTCACCCACATGACTTTCGGACTGTGCAACGCGGCGCAAACATTCCAACGATACATGCATTCCGCATTCTCAGAGATGGATTTTGTCTTCGTTTACGTCGATGACATCGCGGTTGCATCAGTTAACATGGAGCAGCACCAACTTCACCTCCGCAAAGTATTTGAACGACTGCGCCAATTCAACCTCACCATAAATCCAGCTAAATGTAGTTTCGGAAAGAAGTCGATCGATTTCTTAGGCCATCATATCGATTCAAACGGCATCAAACCACTGCCAGAGAAAGTAAAGGCCATTTCGGATTTCCCTCTGCCCAAAGTCGCAAAGGAGCTACGCAGGTTCTTGGCAATGATTAACTTCTACAGGCGATTCTTGCCAAATGCAATTCAACATCAGGAACCGCTAAACCAACTTATCCCTGGAAATAAGAAGAATGACTCAACTCCAATCACTTGGACTGCCGCTACTATCAACGATTTCGGTGAATGTAAGCGAACTCTTGCAGAGACAACGTTACTTGTACACCCTGCGCCACTTTCTCTCTGCACAGATGCAAGCGATTTCGCAGTTGGAGCAGTATTTCATCAAGTCGTGAGCGGCCAGTTTCAACCAACGGGATTTTTCAGTGTAAAGTTAACTGAAACGCAACGCAAGTATAGCACACATGATCGAGAACTGCTCGCTATATACCTCAGCATCAGACACTTTCGCTACATGCTAGAAGGAAGAACGTTTGACATTCGCACAGACCATAAACCTTTGGTATACGCTTTTTCGCAAAAACCTGAAAAAGCCTCCCCACGGCAACTTCGACAATTGGATTTCATTAGCCAATTTACTACCTCTATCGTGCATGTGGCTTGAATTGAAAACACTACTGCTGACGCGCTTTCCCGCATCTCAACCATCGAACGCGAAATTATCGACTACAACCAACTCAGCATCGCACAAGCAAGTTGCAAAGAACTTAAACGACTACTGAACGACAACACCACTGCATTGCAGTTGAAGTCAATCAGCATTCCCAACTCTACCAATTCAATAGTTTGCGATTTATCTACTTCCAGCGTGCGACCTTTTGTTCCAAAGCCTCTAAGGAAGAACGTCATCAGAAAACTACACAACATTTCTCACAGTGGAGTTGGATCAACTATAAAACTTATCAAGCAACGCTTCGTATGGCCCTCAATGCACAAGGAGATTTCTCAATTTGTAAAACACTGTACACCTTGCCAAAAATCGAAGATTTCCAGACACGTCCGCTCGCCGCTGCAGCAGTTCACGCTTAATACACAAAGATTCGATCACACCAATTTAGATCTCATCGGACCATTACCATAATCAGGTCAATATAGATACTGTTTAACAATCATTGACCGTTATACACGTTGGCCAGAAGCCATCGCAATCGAGGACATGCACGCCAACACGGTAGTCTCTGCACTCATCGGCTCGTGGATCTCAAGATTTGGAGTTCCAGCCCGCATCACAACGGATCAGGGCAGACAGTTTGAGTCCCAATTGTTTCATGAATTGTCACGACTGCTAGGAATAGACCACCTTCGCACAAAAGCATATCACCCACAAGCAAACGGAATCATCGAACGCTGGCACAGAACACTTAAAGCAGCCATTATGTGCAAAAATCGTGTAAATTGGCCACAAAAACTTCCACTGATCCTGCTCGGGTTGCGTTCAGCATTCAAGCCAGACATCCAAACAACATCAGCACAACTTGTGTACGGAACAACCCTTCGCCTTCCTGAAGAATTTTTTCATCAAAAGTCCAATTTCCAACCGCAAACTGACTTCGCAAAGGAACTGGAGGAAATCATGCGAGAAATACGGCCCATCCAGACGGCACATCACGACTCCTCCAAGCCATTTGTTTTTAAAGAGCTGAAACAGGCAACTCACGTCTTCCTACGCAACGACACCGTCCGTGGATCCCTTCAACCGCCTTACGATGGACCTTTTGAAGTGAAAGAAAAGCAATCCAAATACTTCACTATAAACACCGGCACTCGATGCATTGAGGTGTCTATAGACCGACTCAAGCCCGCCTTCATTGAAACTCCGCAGCCAATTATTCCACCCCCAAATCCATCCAGTGACTTCAGCAACAGGATCGAAGACACCGCAACGACCCCTGCTGTTAACCAATCTTCAAGACCTCGTAGTACAATTAGACTCCCTGTTCGGTTTACAACATGAAATCTATGGGGAGTACTGTGGCGATCATGTTTTCTTCCATCTGGCATCGCTGAAAACTCCTCAGAATAGATTGGTATCAAAAAACCTCTCTGGGCACACTCTTCGAAGAACCACGCTAAAAAGCCCACTAAGAACACAGATCTCAATTCTGAACAATCACTCCGTATAAAAAAGTAAAAAGTATATATTAGCATCCAAGTTCTGTGTTTTACTTAAGAGCAGGACTTACCTTGGTTTGAAGGCAAACCATAAGCGTTTTGCTCCACAGCTCACTGCATTAATGATGTTGGTAATAATATAGCTAATCTTAAAGCTAAAGGTTTTCATGTCACAGCAGCAGTTTTAGATAAAAGTCAAGCCTTTGATTCAGTCAATATTCCAATTTTAGCAAAAATTCTTATAATTAGTGGTTTTAACATTCTAGATATTAACTTTGTAATCAGTTTCCTAAGTAAAAGAATTTTAATAATGGGTAACTCCGAAATTACTGCACTTTATTTTGATACGCGGACGATTTCTTCCTTATTACTTTTGACAAAGATTTTATGACTGCAAGAAATGTTCTTGAGCATAAAGTAAGCGTTTTTAGGGAAATGTGCAATTCTATTTATTTAACTTTTAACCCTTTAAATCGTCTGTGCTGCATTTTAATAACAGGAAATTATTAAATATTATGTGCAATAATGTAGCTATTAACGATGTAGATCAAGTTATTTATTTAAGTAGGACCATTATTATAAATAATTCCTCTATAGGACATGTCAAACATATCATAGCCAAAGCTAATAAAACAAATATGTTCCTTAATATGCTAAGTGGTTGTCGCTTTGACATTCATCTTAGTAAGGCCCTAAATCTTTTTAAGGCTTTTGTAAGACCCAAATACGAAAATGCCTGCTCTTTAGAGCTGTAAAAACATCGATAGTGCCCCTACTCGATGTTTTCGATAGTGATAGTCCAAACCATCGATATTTTCGATAGTATCAATCGAATTATTATTTAATTCTTTATTTTGTGTTTTAAGCCTACTTGCTTTCAATTTTTTTAATTGCGAGGTATGAATACCGCTGCGACAAAAACCATACAATGTATTAGACACACATAAAAACAAATAGGTTAAAAATTTAAAAGATTTTGATTCTAATAATTACTTATATTTTTTTTTTTATTCATAAGTTAGAAAACTTAAAATTTCTCGTATGCTTTAAAAAGTCGTTATAAGCCATTATCGTTTGCCTTCTGATGCTAAAATCGAGAACATTAAAACTATTAATGAAAAACCAAGCACATTTCATAAACATGTTTTTTTTATTGATTATAATTATAAGCGAAAACATGATAACAAATTAAAGTTAAGAACCAGTTAAGATAATAATGATTATAATGAAATTAACAAAAGAGAGATCATCCGTTCCTCGGGAATTACATGATATTGTTATAGTTGATTATAAATTAAATAAAGTTAAGAACTACTTGAGATTATAATGAATATAATGAGATTAACAAAAGAGAGATCATCCGTTCCTCGGGAATTGTTGTTGATTACGAATTAAACAAAGAAAACGTTTGATAAAAAATAAAATAACAAGTTTAGATAATCCATTCTTTGGAAAACTACTCTTAATGACTTTGTACCACAAAAAATTTAATTCAGCAGCCACTGATTTTTCTTAAGCATAAGGAGCGTGTTTAAATGCTTTGGCTTCAAATAAGTTCGTCTATCCGATATAATTTGACCGGCTCTACTAAACATCCTCTCCGATTCGGTAGATGAAGCCGGGATGCAGAGATACCGCTTGACGACTTTAGCCAAGCTTGGGTATTCCAAGAAATGAGTCTGTAGATAAGAAAACGGATACATATATAATTTTTAAACATTTTATATAATTTGAAAAATATTATTTTATTTATTTTATTTTATTTTATTATTATTAATTACCTTCCAATACGTAAGAGGATCCAGAGACTGCATAGAGTTAGGCTTCTCTGTGTACTGCCTAAGTGCCAAGATTAAGTCCACCCTCTTGTTTTTGATTTTAGTTTGACATTTTTCTTGAACGTACCCAATTAGGGACAATCCGTCGACCCCTATTTGTGATTGTTCTTCTGGCTCTAATTCGATTGTAGGAGAAATTGTTAGCTCATCCTCTAACGCCTTCATGGCCTCCGCGGCGTTGAAAGGACTTCTAAAGGCCTCCTTCTTAAATCTCGGATCCAACATAGTGGCAATCCCAGTTACCGTCCTTTTCTCGAACTGAAACAATCGAGCTTCAACTCCTTTCTTTAATAATTCACAGACTTCAAGTCCTTCTGTGGTTTGCAATTTGGTTGTAATTTTTTCTAGGTTTGGGTACAATCCGCACGCCACCGGTATTATTAAAGAAATTGTCACCTTTGTATCGCCAGAGACATAATGCGTAGCATCGTCAAACATTTTTAAAAGCTCGCAAATGTCAGTCAGCAGGTTTATTTCATCTGCATTTAACATCTGCTCCGACTTCGGAGTATTTAACAGAACACCAATGGTTTCTTTGGCTAAGTCGTTGTAATGACGTCGTTGTTGTTGTCATCTATTAAACAAAACACACAAGACATACATACATATACGTACACTAATGAATTATATTGATTTACCTGTTCTTGTTGCAAAAAACTTTTCCATTTTTCACTTTTCATAAATTTTTCGTTTTTTCTGGAACCACGCTTCTGCAACTAGTGATGTTAAATAAACGCGATACATCGATGGTGGAAAAAAAAATCGAGGTATCGCGCAGCCCAGCCACTATCGATATTACTATCGATGTTTTTACAGCTTTACTGCTCTTCCTTCGCTATCATTTCGAAAAAAATACAAAACAATATTAAGGTCTATGCAAATTTTTGCCAATTCCCATACACGACTTAATAGAAAAAATGAAAACAAAGACATGGTTCCTACTTCAAGGGTTGAAATAATCTTTGACGGTGCAAGTTATCTTTCTATACACTAAAGTTAAGGTCGAACTATTTGTTCCTTTTAGTCAATGTTTCAGATGTTTCAGATTTGGTCATTTTGTCCAACACTGCAAACAAAATCATGAAATTAGTCGAGATTGTTCCTTCTTGCATTCAAGAGAGGAAAAATATGTCGTTTTAAAGTGCGCAAATTGCAAACAGCCTCATTCTGCCACAGAGCTTAATTGTCCGGCTAGAAAGAGTGCTTTTGCTACACCCAGATAAAAAAGAACGAAAAAAATCAAGGACATTTTAAATGAAATGCGAACAATCCGTTCTCCATTTTTAGTTCTCACATTTCGAACGTTTGTCACGAAAGTCGAACGGTGTTGGTAACCATTTCTACCGACGAACAACTTGGTTCCAAATTGCGAAAAATGTTCTCAGATATCGAACGCCGTTCATGAAAAAGCTGCGATAGACGCGTTAAAGTCTATTGAAATCGATAAATTATCAACATCGTTCATAAAAACATGTATGTAGGTCTAGTGTCCCGATTGTCCGCACTCGAAAAATTCGCTCGGTGGTCCAGCTGCTAGAGCGTCCGCCTCCGACACATGGTAGCACAGTTTCGAGTCCGCGAGAAGACCGTTGTGAATTGTAAGTTTTATTAAAATATTATTTCTAATGTTTATATGTACTTTTATTAATAAATAAATACTTTGTTTTCAGCAAAATATCCAAAATACATTGAATTCTAGCAATAACAAAACATAAGGTGGGAAATTAAATAAATCCCTACCAGGCGTCCACAAAGTCTAGCGTGTACACAAACCTCGTTTTTTTTTTAGATTTTTATGTTCTCAGGTTAAGCCCGAAATGTTCTTAAGCTGACACCATTCGTTCGGAACCCGACCCTAAAGTTTCGGTCACATTTTACGAACGACCGTTCATGAACTGTCAACAAACGGGCTCACGCACTTTTTGACAACGATTGGTCTTGATTTTTGAACGTTTCGAACGGATTTTTTTCTGGGTGTATACAAAAATGCATGACAGTCGGAAAATCTTTCTGGAGTAGAAGTTAAAACCAAATTCCCTGCCTTATTTGAAAAGCAATCCACTAACTCTTGCGAAATTTTAAATTCCTCGGATTTCCCTCTACTACAGACCCAGAAAAAATCTGCCATACCTGTGATGCAAAACAATAGCACGGCTGCTGCAGAAAACATTCACAATTTTATTCCCTACAATAAAGTACACTCAGAGAAAAAACCAAGCACATTGGGCTTCTTTAAAGCCCAAATGGTCACAAAACTTCGACAGGTACGAAATGGGCTTGTTTTTTCATTTCAAGAACGTTTTGTTCTTAAACCGGTATTCTTAATTTGAGAACATTTTCGGGCGAAATTAAGTGTGTGTTCTACTTGATTTAAGTAAGAAATCTTCTTTATTTAAGTATAAATACAACTTTATTTTAGTATGAATTGTACTTTAATTAAGTTTAAGAATTCGCAAATCAAGTATGAATTGTACTAAAATGAAATATAATTAAGTCCGTAATATAGCCATATTTATTCTTAAAACAGGTCTAAAATATTCTTAAATGAACCATGGCCAATGCTTATATCGAGATGATATGCAGCTTGCATCAAAAATATATAATTTTCACTTTAAGCTGGACTTAGTCTTCAGAAAAGAATTATTCATACTACACTCAAGAACAGTATGTACTCATTTTAACTATTAAAATGCATTATCTTTAACATAACTTGGTCTTATAATAAGAACAAATCATGCTCCATTAAAGAGTTTACAATTCCATATTCCAGCCGAAAAAGATCTTTACATAAGAACTTATAATTCTTCAATTAAGAAGGCATTGGGCTTGCAGAAAAAAAGTTTTTTTTAGTTTTTGTTTTATTTTATTGTTTTAATGTATCGCATCATTGAGTTTGTTGATTCCTATTGTTGTATAATACTGGAAACTTAAAAAGGAAATAATACATACAGTTTTGCAACTTGCGCTATATGTTAGACATACATCAGCCTTATATAGGACTTAGAATTATTTTAAGTATAGACATGAATTAAAAGGGATATGAATTCTTGAATGATTTTTTCATATATGTACAAGCGCGCAGTCGATGGTAAAACCGCGCACAGATGAATGCTGATCAAGTAATCCTGGAAATCTGTGAAAAACCAAAAAAATAAAAACAAAACAAAAAATTACTGATGTAGTTGCGCATAAAATAATTTCAAAATAGTTAATAGTTAATTTAATAAGGACAAATTATGAAAATTAGAATATTTACCAATTTTCTTTCATAATTTTGCTTGTTTAAGCAGCCCTTTACAAGATTCCTTTGAAATGTTGTAGTCATAGAAATTGAAGACTTTATTTTTGAACGTCTCCCATTTCGAAAACAAAAACGAGCTTCTCCTCGGGTACATCATTTCAAAATCAATTTCAATCTATAAGTAAAAAATGAAATGGTTATATATTTATATAATACATTTTATCCCGTTTTTCAAGAACTTACCAATTCAGTTGACTGGGCTTGGGCGAATTTTGACCAGACAGCGAAAAACTCTTAGCTGTCAAGTTGTTTGACCTCTTGTTGGCGAAGATGGAAGGGTTCTTCCATTTCTCGCACACTAAGTCCCAATTGTCACCATCTCTATTAACAGAAAGCTTTAGCGAAAGTGCGATACGATTTTTTTTACCGTCTCGGGAAATGAAGTATTAATCCTATAAAATTAATTAAAAATATCAGTAAAAATCAAAATTAAAAGCTCTTCAATAAAATTTTACCTTGCATTTCTCTTCGCCAGGTAAGTAAAAGCAAATTTCGTCCAGCAGCAGACTAAAATCGGAATATTTGATAGTTATCCCTGTTGAGACGATTTCCTCAAGGATAATGCTTATAAGATCGTTCTTCATATCCAGGCTTAAAGACATCTGTTTTATTCCTTGATCCAAAATAGCTTTTCCTCTATTGGTCTCCGTCAATAAAGTGCCCAAGCTTTTGCCTAGGCGGCGTCTTCAGCGATTTGGTTATGTTTGTGAGACGCAACTGCGATTCAATATCTGGTCCAAGCTGCATTCAAAAATATTTAATACTTGTTAAAACTTCAGAAACTACTTACTATTTATTTTCTCCAAGACAGCAGCTTCTCTCGAAATCTTAACCTAGGACCCAAAGGTGGAACGGCTTCCTTCAAATTTTCCTTAGCTAAAATATTTTTTAAATCATCGTATTGAATTTGTGCATCTAAGAATATTTTATTTATTATATTTCAGTCTTAAATATGTACATGCATACAGTGTATAACATTAATATTCAGGTTTTTTTTGTGCATGTTTATCAATTAAGTTTAAGGAAAAGTATTAATATATAGAAATCTATGAAAAGGTTATAAAATAAGCTTTAATTCTGTATCATTACATTTTTTTGTTTTTATTAGTTTCAAACCTTTTATTCACGCTTAAAGTTAAAACAAAAAAACCGAGTATTAATGTTATACACTGTATATACATATTTACATATATAGATAGACTGGCAAAGCACTTGGTCGGGCTTGCATAAGCCGTTGCGATAAAAATGATAATTCTGTAAGAATCTTTAAAAATGTAGTATAACTTGTTAAATAAAAACCCGCATAACTTTATTTTTGGATCGCAATTATTAATGCAAGCCTAAACATGTGCTTTGGCAGTGTATCTACATATGTTATGTATTTTTAAATGTGTGTTGACAAGTCACAACACCCCCCAGTCGTAAATGACAGCATTCCAGCACGCGTTCTTTCATTATGAAATGGCATCGAAAAGGTGTTCCGGAAGTGATGAGTCTGTCCATTCTTTTTACACGGGTGCGGGACAAAAAAGAATGCACCCGTTGCATGCTTCTGGAAGCATATATCTGGAATGCACCTGGAAGCAACATACTAAACTCCTTCTGGGTGTACTCTTTTTTAATGCACCTGTAACGTGTACCCAGGAATGCACCTAGAAGCATTCAAAAACGAAATATCTGGAAGTTTTCCCCAGGAATACATAAAACTGGATTACAATTTCATATTTATTTTCATTTCAATATTCAAAAACGCAACTAATTTTTAATCGGAGTAACTCCCCTTCTGTACGGTGCTTTGGTGCTTCCTTCTTGTTTATGTACTTTTGTCATTTACGCAGTTCAGTCCTTGGTGTGCCCATTCATTTTTTGCGATTCTGAAAAATATAAAGCAAATTGAATATGAAATATGTGTATATACATTACAAATATACAATATGTTTATATTGTATGTACAATTTACATACAAATAGTTATTATTTTATTTGTTTAATATGTTTTTAGTTTGAATGTTCAGTGTACATGTACTGTGTTATTTTATTGTGTTCATATTGAACTAAATTATCTACACTTTACTTACCTGTGAAAATATTGATGTAAAATTGGTGGCAGAAAGCAACAAACTTTTTCAAAACACGTGGCACGAACTTCACTTTTCAGAACTAAAAATGCAACTGACGAGAAATGCAAGAGGCAAGAAAAACCGCTCGCTTCCTTGCATGTTCCCTTTTGTCTTTATTATTTGTTTGTCAAGAGAACAGTTCCGAAAAAAGACGATTGTAAAAAAATGGGCATCGGCAACCTTCGGGTTTGAGTTTGGTTTTTTTACATTCCCACTAAAATGCTCCTGGATGCACTATATTGAAATACACCCAGATGGCACCCAAAAGACTGCCCCCAGCACGCACAGTTGCTAGTTAAATTTGCACGCGTGTTGCTTTGCGTAAAAAAGATACGACCCAGAACTATTTCTTTCGGAATACGTTCCCGAAACGGGTGTTTGGGCATGCCTCTGGATGCATTATTCTGAAACACTTCTAGAAGGCACCGCAATAGAATGCACCCAGCACGCACATTTGCCTTGCAAAATTTGCATGCGTGCTGTTTTGCGTAAAAAAGGTACGACCCAGAACTATGTTTTTTTAAAACACGTTCCGCAACTTACGACTGGGTTAGCACTCAAAAATGTACATAAACATGTACAATGCACATGTAAATACGTAAATATGCACATAAATAAGTACATATGTATTTAGCGAAAAAAAACTATAAAAAGTGAGCACTTTTCGCGGTACGGTTCTATGTACATATGTAATTTGTAGTATTTTGCCTGTATAAGTATGTTTGCTCAATGTAGTTTTCCAGGAATACCAAGTGCACAATTATTACTTCACTTCAATTCACAATTATTACACATTGGATATGGCATTATTATTACTTACTTTCGAGGTGATCCCGAACATCTTCCAGTTCATATTCTTTTAAAAACTCTTCCAGCTTCGCGTCACTAATTGCACTTATTTTCACATAACTTTGACACACGCGATCAGATCAAAAGTGAATATCTCCTTTCTAGAGCTGGGGCTACCATTCAATTGTATCAATATATCTAATATCATCTCGTGTTGGTATCGAGATTTTTGTTCTATAGTAAACTTTACCTATGGTATGTATTACGTTAAACGTTTTTGGATTTAAATTTATTAAAATATTAGTTTTATTAATATTAATATAGATAGTTCTTTATACTTTTTTTCATGTTTTGATTCAAATGAATACTTTTAATTTTGGGCAAGCTTCAAACTATCGATATTTTTTCAGCCCATCGCTTACATTATAGGAAAACACTTGCACTTGTGTTAATTTTTTTGCAACCAAATTGCACAATTGTGGATGTGTATAAGCGATTAGGCGTAGATTGGACTGTATGAAAAATGCAGACGTATTTCCTTATTCCGTTTCAGAGTACATATGTATATAAGGACAATTATCAATTTTTTACTTCCTTCTCCGATCTAAACACAAAATGTGCTTGTTTGGAGAACATCCTTATTAATTATAAATAATAACCAATTCGTCATGTTTTTTGTTCATATGTACAATTCTTAATGTTTTGAAAATACATAGAAGCGTACGGTAATATTTAATAATTAATTATTAATTTCCTATTTCTTTCTCTGATCTAAGCACAAAAAGTGCTTGAGGATCTGTTTTATAACATTTTTTAATGTTTGCGATTTTTGTCTACACTACACTAAGTGCAAAATCTATTTAAATTAAGCAACATTTGTTCTTTTTTAGCAAACATAATAAGAGCGTTATATTATTGACTTAAGCACAAACTGTACTTGTTGGTATACTTTATATTTTTGATGTTTTGTACTATAAATGAGAATAATTCATTCCTATTTTAGGGATACTAAAACCTGATTTTTCTTGAATCAAAAACATTTTCGTATAGTTTGGGCTTTAAGAATGATTTATTCTTGATTCAAGACGCGCAGCATATTCATCAGCAAACATAAGAAGTGCGTTATATTATTGATTTAAGCACAAACTGTACTTGTTGATATACTATTTATTTTTGAAGTTTTGTAGTACTAATGAGAATAATTAATTTCTATTTTAAGAATACTAAAACCAAATTTTCTTAAATTAAGTACTTTTAGTGATCACGTTGAGAATATTCGTGCTTACCAAGAAACATTTTTTTTCAGAATATATTATACTTAGGAAAGGCAGAAATCGTACTTGTTTGGTCCTGTTTATTGAATAATGTTCTCGAATCAAGCACTTTTTCGGATAATTTGTGTTTTAAGAACGATTTATTCTTAATTCAAGAACGCTCAAAGTACTCATTCTTAAAACAAGCCCAAAAAGTACTATCCGAAATCAAGTATAAATCGCGCACAAATTTAGGATGCGTTTTTTTCTGAGTGTAGTAAAAATAAATCAAAATTGTATAAATGAAAATAGGAATGCACAATCCACTATGAATAGCTATAGAGCTGCAATTAAGGATAACAGCTGTTCTCTTAGTGATAAATTCATTACTACTTCTTCACAATCTTCCATTTTTTCACAGTTATCTCAACCTTCCAATTTTGCACAGCACCAACAAAACCTCTCTCCCTCCCAACCTATTTATTTTACACAGTCTTCACCCTTAGAAACCGCTGAAAACAGTTTAATTCAATGCTTTTAATTTATTTTTTATATTTTGGTTTTTAGAAGCATTTTATTTTTATGTTTACTTTTTACATGTTTTTTTTTTCTTTTTTGTTTTTTGGCTTATTTTCATGAAAATTTTGCAATATAATATTCAAAGTCTGACAGCCAAAAATAACAAACAGCTTCTTGAACTTTTTTTAGTTAACAACAACGTTGATATTGCTCTTTTCCGAAATCTGGATTAAAAATAATGCTATGTGCAGTCTTTCTAATTTTAATTTCGTATGTAATGACAGTTATAGCGGTGTAGGAATTTATATTAAAAAAATATTAAATTTAAAATCATCAACTGCGACATTGAAATTGAAACAATTGGAATAGCTACTATCAATCTAAAGCACAATATTAATGTTTTCAGTGTATATGCTCTTCCCAGTACTAGCATAAATGATTTCGAGAAAGGTTGTAGAGATGCTCTTATGACGGCAGCGGCTCTTGGGGGACTATCTATAGTAGGTGGTAACCTAAATGCTAAGTCGTCAATTTGGGGAAACTCTACTCATGATAATAAAGGTCAAGTTTTAGAACAAATCCTTATTTCTGCAGGTTTTTTCTGCTTGAATGATGGTTCTCCCACATACTCTCCTTATCCGCCTTATTTTTCTGCACTTGATCTAACATTTGTAAACAAAGACAGGGAGGTCTTTGAGGGAAATCTCAATTGGTCTACCTCAAATTCTAAAATTTCAAATAGCAATCACTTCCCAATAATATAAGAATTGACTAATATTGCTGCTACTACAAATAACCATAAGCTTCTTCAATCTCAAGTTTTAGACGATTTTTTCAATATAAAAATACTTCTCTTTATAATCTCACAAATACAACAAACAATATTTTAAAAAGAAATACAGTTAAAATAAATGAGAAAAACAAATATATTCCAAAGAAATACTGGGACGAGACCTGAGAGAGACTTTTCAGATTAAGAAATGCTAGCAGACAAAAATATTACAAAACCAAGCTGTTATCAGACGCAAAAATTTTCTTTGAAAATAACAAAAAACTTAATAACTATTTTTACAAGGTAAGAAAAGAGAATATGAATAAATTAGCAGATGATTTGACAAACCCAAAGTCAATGAAAGAAATGTGGCAAACTATTAAATCTTTAAAATCCTACAAACAAATTAAACCCACCAGCAGACAATTTAGCGATTCTGATCATATTGCTTTCCTTCATCAGATTTCCTCAGCTCCAGATACCGCAGAATGTATTCAAATGGATCTTCCCTCCTTTGACATTCAAACCATAAATAGAACGTGTTTTTCTGCATCTGAACTCACTAAATTCAAAAAACACGTAACCTCAATTCCGCAAAAGGTCCAGACAACATTTCTTATAGCATGCTTTTCTCCTTACCCCCTGACGAAGTCCAAAATTTGGAATCTATGGTTAATGAAATTCTTAACGATGGCACAGTACCAGATTCTTGGCGTAGAATTAAAGTTGTTCCAGTTCCAAAAAAAAGCACCGTCGTCTATAATAACAAATAATCGACCAATCTGTCTTTTAAGCGTTTTGCTCCACAGCTCACTGCATTAATGATGTTATTAATAATATAGCTAATTTTAAAGCTAAAGGTTTTCATGTCACAGCAGCAGGTTTAGATATAAGTAAAGCCTTTGAATTAAATGCTGAATAGTCAATATTCCAATTTTAGCAAAAATTCTTATAAATAGTGGTTTTAACATTCTAGATATTAATTTTATAATCAGTTTCCTAAGTAAAAGAATTTTAATAATGGTTAACTCCGAAATTACTGTGAATAAGGGAGTCAGCCAAGGAAGCTGTCTCAGTGCAATACTTTTTAATTTGTACACTTCTGAGTTGCATGCCATAAATGATCATCAAAGCACTTTATTGCAATACGCGGACGATTTCTTCCTTATTACTTTTGACAAAGATTTTATGACTGCAAGAAATGTTCTTGAGCGTAAGGTAAACGTTTTTAGGGAAATGTGCAAATCTATTAATTTAACTTTTAACCCTCTCAAATCGTCTGTGATGCATTTTAATAATAAAAAGAAATTATTAAATATTATGTGCAATAATGTAGCTATTAACGATGTAGATCAAGTTATTTATTTAGGTAGGACCATTAGTATAAATAATTCCTCTATAGGACATGTCAAACATATCATAGCCAAAGCTAATAAAACAAATATGCTCCTAAATATGCTAAGTGGTTGTCGCTTTGGCATTCATCCTAGTAAGGCCCTAAATCTTTTTAAGGCATTTGTAAGACCCAAATACGATTATGCCTTCGTCTTCCTTCGCTAACATTTCGAAAACAATAACAAACAGTATTAAGGTCCATGCAAATTTTTTGCTTAGGAAATCGCTTGGACTTATTAAATCAACTGCTATTAACATAATATATCATTTAGCAGGAGAACTTCCTCCGGAATATAGAATAAAATTTACAACGGCAAAGGAATTGGCCCAGATTTTCAATTATTGTTTACCAGCAGCTTCTCTTTTGACCAATGATTTCACAGAAAAAAACACTAGCTACATAAAGGTTTACTCGGAATTCAAAGATATTTATGATTCAATTGCTAGTCTAAGGATTTTTTTCCTATAAATCTCGGAAAATATCGGTGGATGCGGATTTCTTTAAGGGTATTATCATATATATATTATATATATATATTTTTATACCCGTTACTCGTAGAGTAAAAGGGTATACTAGATTCGTCGGAAAGTATGTAACAGGCAGATGGAAGCGTTTCCGACCCCATAAAGTATATATATTCTTGATCAGGATCACTAGCCGAGTCGATCTAGCCATGTCCGTCTGTCCGTCTGTCTGTCCGGATGAACGTTGAGATCTCGGAAACTATGAGAGCGAGGCTATTGAGATTTGGCGTACAGATTCCTGAGCTTCTTACGCAGCGCAAGTTTGTTTCAGTAGACTGCCATGCCCACTCTAACGCCCACAAACCGCCCAAAACTGTAACTCCTACAGTTTTGATGCTAGATAGAAAATTTTAACTGAAATGTATTGTTTTCAACAATACCTATCGATTGACCTAAAAAAAAGTTTGCCACGCCCACTTAAACGCCCACAAACCGCGAAAACCTGTGACGCCCACAATTTGCATGCTAGATAAGAAATTTTAACTGAAATGTATTGGTGTCGTCAATACCTATCGATTGATCCAAAAATAAATTTTCCACGCCCACTCTAACGCCCATAACGCTTAAATCTGTCTACCGCCGGTAGGTGGCGCATTTTAATCTCGCTTTGCTGCTTGCATATCTCCATTTCCCTTTGAGTAACGGGTATCTGATAGTCGAGGTACTCGACTATAGCGTTCTTCCTTGTTATATATATAGAGTATATATTATAAAAAATACG